AGAGGTACTTTTTTTTTATTTAAATCTTAGTTAAGACCATTCTGAATATGTAGTATCGTTATATTCTCTACTTACATTTTTTATTTGCTATATAGGAATCAACTTTGAGTGCTGATCTATGCTAGTAAGACTTGTGGGAAAGAATGAATCAAGTAACTTCAATACAAAACAATTAAGAATGAAGGAAAAGTTTAATATTGTTATATTTATAATATTGTTTGTTAAATTTGTATTTTGCAATTGAAAATTAGGATAATGTTTGCATTTTTGTTTGGAATATTGTGTTTTTATTTTCATTGACTTTTTTCATAAATTGTTTTATATCACTTTGACGGATGAACTTATAAAAAATAATTTATTTTCGTGGTTATTAACTGAACCGAACCAAGATACGAACCGAACCGATTTACGTGGTTATGGTGCAGTAATGATATGATCAAAAAATTGGTGGTGCGGTTATGGTTTTGGCCGAACCAACCATAACCAAACCATTGCCAACCGTACTTAAATTCTACTCAAACCCTCCTCTCACTCACACCTCTCCCTCCATTCACATTTCACGCCTCTCCAACATCATCCTCCCAAATAATCCTCCCCAAGTAACTCTCTTCTCCCTCCATTCACACCTCTAACCTCACATATGCGCCGCCTCCATCCCACCCTCCATCTCTCTCACTGAAACTCTTCCATTCTCTCTCTTTACCCTAATAAAGGAAAAAATTTCTCACTTTCTCATACCGCTTTTTTTGAACTATAGCCATTGATAGCTTGGAGGCATCAAATGCTATATTTCTGGCACTGCGGATTCCGAGCTTGCTGCTATTCTGGTCTCTAGTTAGGGCGTTACGTATTTTCTAAAGTATTTGATTTTGGGTATTGTAAAGTTTCTATCTTGTGTTGATTTACTGTTCCTTCAATGGAGTTTTTATTTTATTCTTAATTTTTATACTGAATACAGGTGGTAAAAATTATTTATATTCTTGAGTGTGTGTGTCAATTCTAGGTTCCTTTTGGTAGAGTTTCATTTGGCCAAGTTAGGTAATAAAGTGGTTTATTATCACAGAAAGATTTCATTTTTGTTGCATATTTCAATTGGGTTTTCTTATTTAAGTGTTGTTTGTTTGCAGGCTAAATGAAAAATGATACACTCGTAATTATAATTTCACACCCTAATAGGAAAGGTTTTGTTTATTTTCATTATTATGGGATTTTGGTGTTGGAAAGTTTGTATCTTAATTGCTTAATATGGTATTGATGATTTTTAAGGTATCTTAGCTTCTATTCATGTTCTGTTTTTCTTGGGCTTAGAAGTTAAATAACAATTTTTTGTAGGTGCCAAGTGATAAGTGTATTTTATACACTTATTTCATACTCAAAATAATGATATTTAAGGGTTTTTTCGACAAATTATATCCTAAATTCTTGTATTTTACGTTTGATAGGTATATTTTATGAACAAAAAGAAATTGAAGGAAAGACGCAAAAATGGGCGAAAATGGCAAAATTCAAGTACAAGGACTACATTGCATTAACTTAAAAAATTGAGAACTTGATGGGTAATATTACATTAAAGGGTTTGAATTAGAGTAAATTATGGTGGCTTTAAAGGGGAAGATATATGAATTCACATTGGGGAGTTTGTTGGAAAAAAAATTTTAGAGTGTATATATATATATATACACACACACACACAAAAAAAAAAAAAAAAAAAAAAAAAAAAAAAAGACGAATCGGAGAGGCGGAATTGGAGAGACAACCTGGGGGAATTGGTTGCTGGAAATTGGAATTACATACATTTATATTTACCCCTTGCAGCCAGCAGAACGCACTTTCTGGGAAGGAGAACTGCAGCCGGCCAAATACAACACTTCGGAAGAATTTCTGACAGCTGGACAAAAATTCAATTGTGGACTGCTAGGATTAATTGGAAGAAGGCCCAACACACAATTGGATAAATCAATTGAGAAACGTGTAAAGCATAGAGGGAGGCCGAAAGCAGATTTGGAGGCAAGAATTGAAGCTGCCGACAATTATTATATTTACATACACACCAATAGACGGCAACTTGAGGAGGCAGAATTGAGAAGTTCCAGCTGGGATTACAATTAAATATTGGAGGCACTCACAGAAATTGAGGAGAGGCACACAGAGAAGCTCAGAAATTGCTGGAATTTATCACTTATACGCACAGGAAACCGAGGAAGAATTGGACTCCAAACATTGAAGCTGTCGGCTGGAGTAAAATTGAAATTTCATTCACGTTTCGTCAATTAATTCCTGTGATGTCTTCCATTATTTTGTCTTGTCTTTCTTCAATTATTATGAATAGCTAAATTTGATTTAGGGCGAACAATCTAACTTAATTGGATACCTTTATTTCGTTGAATTAAGATTCTAGTGCTTTAATTTTTTATGTGTTGATTTTAATGTCGTGCTTAATGCTTTTAATTACTTGATAACTAATTAGATGATTTGTGAACAATGATTGCGTAGAGATACGGATTATTTGTTTAGATTACATGTTAAAATCCGGTAAATTGATATAACGTGTAGAGATACCTATATTAATTGCTACGGTCATGTGTGAATTCTTAGAAACAATGTTGCGTTTAATTAATTTAATTTGCATAGAGATATGAAATTGAACTAATTAAATAGGCTCAACGAGAACTCAAGAGGGGTAAGTTGAATACCATAGAAGAATTTGACCGAACAATACTTTAGGTTGTATGAATCTTGATTTACGAAGTAAAGGTGAACATTAGGTGAAATTGTTCCGCCCTAACGTCCTTTATTATTTGAATTCTCAATCATTTTCTGTTGCATCCATTCGCATTTTTTTTTAGTAGTTAGATTTAAAAATCACATTCAATCAAATATATATATATATATATATATTACTACTTGTTACGATCCGTCCACTTGCGGGATAAAATCGACAACACCAAGGTAGTTGCTTTCAAACTACTCATCTTGTATATGCTTTCAAGCTATTTTTTGTCATGCCTTTACCTAGATTTTTAAGTAAATTGGTCAATTTTCAAGACTCGCCTATACATTTGTTGTATAAGAAATTACTTCTATATTCATTATGTTTCTAAACTCTCGAATCAGGATGATATAAATTTTGATCCTTCTAGTTTCAATGTAATATCATGAAGATATTTTTGACTGACAACTGGAGGTTAATTTGATCATTGACGATTATACTTAAATTAGTACCTTTGAAGCAAGCAACTTGAGATGTCTAGTCACAATTGTGTATCCATACCCTAATGGTTATGGATATCTCAGCCATCAGTTTATTAGCTTACTCTTTGGTGGTGATTTGTACTCATAATGGGTGGTCCATGGGCCAAATCTTATGGGGACAGATTTAGAGTATGTTTGGGAAGTATTTATAAACACTTTTGCAAAACCACTTTTTATCCACACATTTATAAAACCATTTAAATGGAACATTGGAAGATTTACAAGTTGACTATCTTGCTTTGTATTTTGTACGTAATCATATTGCATTTGGATAATAGATACTGGATCTAGAATTTCCAAATGTACTATCAATATTGAGTTTCTAATGTTAAAATTATGTCTCTAACTGCTGACTTTGATGTTGCTTGTGTTTGTGATGGCTGGTTAAGTGCAAGAAAACAATTGACAGATGAGATGTGGCAGCAGTTTCTTCTCAATGCTTCAGCGACAGAGTTGAAATGTTAGTTGACACTGAGTACATTTAATGCAGTTTAATACTAAATGACTTCAAATGCTATGCATTGATATCTTTGTCTATGTGTTGCAAAGAAATTTTATTTAAAATTCTCTCTGTCGTAATAGCACTCAGAGTCATCTGGGAACTTATATTGTTTCATCAATTAAACAGATTGAGATGTAGCATTTACTTAAAGAATATAAAGAACAATCGATGGATGAGGAGTTCTATAAGAAACTTGCAAGAGATTTTAAGTGAGCATTTTGCTTGTGCAATTCTGAGTTACTAGCTTCCTTATTGTCGTGTATATATAAAAGTAATCACTTTGTCATAGGTCGAGTATAACCAGGCACCTATAGCATTGCTATCTACAATGAGATTTGAAATTTAACTCTTGATTGTTATTTCATGATTTACTTCCTAGGCAGTAATTGATTAAATGCTTTTATTGATATTCTAAAAGCTCATCCCCTTGTTACAGTTATTTTCTTCCGCTATCAGGGACGGATTCAGGACTGGATTCATGACCGGGCTACAAAATTTCAAACCGGGCTACTACGTAAAAAAAAAATTTTACACATAAAAAACTGATTTTTTACCCAAAAAAAATAAAAAATACCTTAAAAAAAATTTTTTTGGACCTCGGGGGGGGGGGGGGGGGGGGGGAAGGCCCCCCCCCCTTAAGAGCATCTTCACTGCATTGTATGGATTGTTATTTAGGTGGCATATAAATAAGAAACTTTTGATCTATGTAGTATTTAGAGACGGATCCATAATTGAATCCAAGACCGGCCTACTACGCGGGAATAAAATAAAAATTTACACATAAAAAATTGATTTTCTTTTTACCAAAAAAAATAAAAAATAGCTTAAAAAATGTTCTTGGCCTGAGGGGAGGGGCTACAGCCCAGCCCAGCCCCCCCTCTATCCGTCTCTGTCCGCTATCATTTTCCATAAATGTAATCTGAACTTGTGCATTCCTTCTGTCATAGTACTACACACTGGGAGTTGAAGACTTGAGTTACTCTCTGTTGAAGAACTTCACATGCCAAACTCCTATCTGATCAGGCGTGGCTCCGTCGAAATCTGCAAAGCCGCCGGGTAAGGACTGAGGAGTTGTAGCCTTGCGCCATTGGAGAAGAAGGAAGATGAAGACTGAAGGAAAGGCACTGCTAGGTTTTTTTTTTTTTTTTTTGGTTGGGTTTGGGCTTCAGTAAATTAAATTTTGGGCCTATTATTATTTAATTTATTTAGCCCAAATGAATTTAGCCTTGAACCCGTTACCCATAACCCATTTCATTTGGCCTACCATTTCCTTCACATTTTCAATCCCAACAGAAGACGAGAGGCAGCAGCAAGAATTGTGAATTTCCCCCAAATTGCCAAACCCTTTTCCTCAATCTCACTTCTTCTTGCTCCAAATTCACACCACAGACTTCAAGCATTAGACTTTCGGACCGGTGAGTGGTGACTCCTTCTTTCCCTCTTTATTATTATTATTATTATTATTATTATTATTATTATTATTATTATTATTATTATTATTTGGGGTTTTGGTGTTGAATCTGTTGAAATTATTGATGCATTATTTAAAATTAAATCTATTTTATTGTTCTATCTTTCCACTTTTATTTAAAATTAACTAAGCAACATAAAGGTGTTAAACCGTGTTATGATAATTCATAATTTTATTTTTGTTTAAAGATATATGTTTCTCTAACATATTTGGCAAAAAAAAAAAAGTTATTTTTTTATAAACATTAGGATTTACAAATTATGTGAATCAAAATGCAAATAACTATGAGTCTCACAACTTGCAAGTTAATTAAGTTAGAAAACAAGTAATTTATTTGACTATGGCTGTCCGTTTTGTTCAATGTCATTAGAAGATTTCTGTTTTACAGTTATAGGGGGTAAAGTTCTGGGCTTAGCTTTCGTGGTAGTTGTTGAACAAACACTAGAAGTGATGCTCACTTTGATTATTTAGACTTAGACATGAACTTCATGTTTAAGTTGTATGTTCACAGTCTAGTATTGACTATTGAGCAGTGAACTAAGCAAAAATGAAGGGACAAAAGTTGAAAACAAAAATGACACTCAGAATTAGAATTACCTTCTCATAACAGGTCAATTGTGTCTTCTAGCACCCTTCAAACTTGTGGACAAATATATTTGGAGTAATTAGACAACAATTTAATGGAATTGAATCTTTGTGATAATGTATTAGTGAAACATAAAGAATTTCTCCAGACTGATGCTATAAATGGAACAAAAACATGAAATTAAATGTACAGGCAGTCTGGTTCTAGTAAGAAACTTGTTGACATTAGGTTTCAATCCTCGTGTTTGATGATGAGTAATTTACGTGAATTTATGTTTACGAAATTGTATTTTCGAATTGTGATTTATGATGAGTAATTTATGATTTGATGAGAGAATAGGATATTAGGAATGATTATTGATTTGGGAATTACGTTTAGGATGACATTTTGCAAATTATAGAACGATTTTTTCAACCAAAACTAAAGTCCATACCCAATTCTTCTACTTCTAGTTGTGCATCCAGTCCCGCCACTGATTCTAGTAGAGCACAAGAGTTATTAAATAACACAAAGAAGTCTCGGGCTCAATTTAATGTGAATGATCTTGTATCTGATCCAGGGATACACCCCCCTATCGAATCATATGATCCTAATATTAGAGATATTGTTAGGATGGCATACTTGGAGAAGGGTCCTTGTCAATCATATGAATATGATTTTCCAAGAAGACCGATGGGGAATGATAATAGATGTTTTCGGAAAGAATGGTTCTCCGAATTTCATTGGTTGGAATAGAGTATAGAAAAGGATGCAGCGTATTGTTTGCATTGCTACCTGTTCAAACCTGATAGAGGGGTTCAAGGGGGTGGACATATATTTACTAAGACCGGCTTTAGGGATTGGAAGCACAAAAAGACGTTGAAAGATCATGTTGGTCTCTTTGATAGTTCTCATAATCAAGCTTTTGCAAAGTGTACCAACTTGATGAATCAAAAGCAAAGTATCTCTTACGTTATTTCTAGCCAAAGTAGTAGCCAACAACAAAGTTATAGGACCAGGTTGACTGCGGTGCTAGATTGTACTAGACTCCTCTTGATACAAGGATTGTCATTTCGTGGTCATGATGAATCGAAAGAATCTCTTAATAGAGGAAATCTAATTGAGTTATTTAACTGGTATGCAGCTCTTTGTAAGGAAATTAAAGAAGTATTATTTAGTAATGCTCTTAAAGATGATCAAATGACTTCACCAGCCATCCAAAAGGATTTGATTAATTGTTGTGTCGTAGAGATGAGAAGGGCTATTATTAATGAGATTGGTGATTCTTTGTTTTCAATTTTAGTTGATGAGGCTCGTGATAGTTCTGTGAGAGAACAAATGGCAGTTGTTTTAAGGTTTGTTGATAAAAGTAGGCGAGTGAAGGAGCGTTTTTTGGGTATGTCCCATGTCACTGATACTTGTGCCCAATCATTGAAGGATGTCATTAATGCAATGTTTTCTACATATGGGTTGAGTATATCTAGTCTGAGAGGTCAAGGCTATGATGGAGCAAGTAATATGTCAGGTGAGTTCAATGAGTTGAAAGCTTTAATTCTTAGAGAGAACCCACATGCTATGTATGTTCATTGCTTCGCTCACCAGCTTCAGTTGGCAATTGTAACTATGGCACGTAGGAATTGTATGGTTAGTGATTTTTTGGACGTACTTGCTATTATTATGAATTTGGTTGGTGCATCATCTAAGCGTGTAGATGCTCTTCGAACAAGTTATCAAGCTAATATTCTGGAGAAGCTTAATACTAGGAAACTTACTGGTAGAAGTGGTCAGTTTCAAGAAATGAGTTTGGCAATCCCAGGTGATACTAGGTGGGGCTCACATTTATTGACAGTTACTCGTTTCATTAATATGTTTAATGCTATTATAGATGTTCTTGAGAATATATTAGAAGATGGCGTACATTCAGATCAAAAATCTTCGGCCTTAAGACAGATAAACAATATGCAAGATTTTGAGTTTGTGTTCAGTCTTCACTTTATGTTTGAAATTCTTGCAATTATAGACGACCTTTCACAAGCCTTACAGAAAAATTATCAGGATATTCAGAATGCTATGAAGTTATTGAATTTGCATAAGTGTGCATTGCAGAACTTGAGAGAGAATGGTTGGGATACTTTGTTCAGTAGGGTAATTGAGTTTTGTGTTGATAGACATATTTTAGTGCCTAATATGGAGGATATTGTAGTAGTGAAAGGTCGACCTAGGCGTGTAGCTCAGCAGGTGACTTATTTTCATCGCTTTTATGTTGATTTGTATTGTCATTTGATAGACTCAATCTTGCAAGAGTTGAATGATCGATTTTCAAAAATAACTACTAAGCTCTTTTCTTACATTTCATGTTTAAGTCCAAGAGATTTATTTGCAGCTTTTGATAAGGATAAATTGTTACGTCTTGCTCAGTTCTATCCTTTGGACTTCAATGGTGAAGAACTTTTATTACTTAGACCTCAACTTGATAAGTTTCTTTTGCTTGTGAGAATGGACAAAGCTTTCTTTAATCTCAATAGTATATCCTGTGTAGCTCAAAAGTTGATTGAAACTAGAAGTTCCTGTTATTTTCCATTGGTTTATAGGCTACTCACCTTGGCTTTGATATTATCTGTGGCAATTGCAAGTGTTGAAAGGGTATTTTCTGCTATAAATCTAATCAAGAGTGATTTGCGCAACAAAATGGGAGATGACTGGTTGAATGACAATTTGGTGGTTTACGTGGAGAAAGCTATTTTTAAAAAACTTGAGAATGAGGCAATATTGCAACGTTTTCAAATTATGAGACCCCGTAGAATACAGTTGTCTAAGTTTACAGTAACTGAGTAAGGTTGTATCGTATTTTTTTTTTACTATTTTGGGTTGTATCGAAGTATATTTTCATATATATGCGATTTTGATGTTTTAGTTCATTTATATATATATATATTGAGTAACTTTTAATATTAAGTAACCAAATTTTAATAAACAATCAGACTATTACGATCGTCGACAGTCAACGATCGTTGATCAACGGTCAATCCGCCCTAGCTGGACTTGGATCCTGGATTCGCTGCTATATCTAATCATATTGAATGGGCTTAATTATTCTTGGCAAGCACAGACGGCCATAGGTATAATTGTTATATGGATTTGGATTATAATGTTTGATTAGTTATATGGATAATGAGTCAACAATATGATCATTGTACTTAATAGGTATAATATGGATTCTGGGGAGGGCAAATGTAGAATTATTTTGTTGATTTTTTTGCTACATCAATCTGTATACAATAGACATAATGGATGATACGGAGCTGGTTGTGTAGAATCAAGTGGACATGATGAAACAGGTTGCTTGTTTATATATTATGAGACATACTGTTCCTTGTGCACATTATCAGCCCCACGCAAGTCTGATAGTAAACATGAAAGTGAATGAGGTGTTGAATCGGAGATTGATCAATATGCATGATTTAATGTTTGATTTTGTGAAGAGTATGGCAATCAAGATTCTTTTAAACTACAAACATTAAATTTATTATTTATTTTCAACATGAGAAATTGGGAGAACAAGACTGACATGAGGCATATGACTTAATTTTAAGAGCTTAGTTTGATTTTTGGACAAGAAGGGAAATTAATGTAACTTTAGAGTATAAGATGTCTGGAATTTCATGTTCATCGTTAGTTATTTTATAAATTTTATTAAACTTTAGGGTTTTTTTTCCTCATATTAAATTCTCAAGAAAAGATTAATTAAAATAGTAATCCAATTTTTTTTTTAATTTTTATTCAAATTAGCGATAGAAATAGCGATGGCAATTTCGTTGGTCCATCGGTGCTTAGCGACGGACAGGGATTCCGTTGGTAAAATTACCAACGGACTGTTTGCCGACGGATTTACCAACGGATACGTTCCGTCTCTAAAGGTCATTACCAACGGATTTTGGGGCTTTTGAGACAAATTATTCCATCTCTGAAACCGCATTTTTTGGTAGTGCCTGGTGGGGAGAAAAATGGGTATAGAATCTTGATGAAAATTGGTTGCAGTAGAGGAAAGAAGTGAAGGCATGAAGCGAAATCAAGAATCTTGAAACAGACAACATATGGTGTGAGTTTTGTTAATGTAAAAATAGGTTAGGTTGAGGATAGTGTAGTCTTTTACTATTTCTTATGTATTTGCCCAGTTTGAAGGCTGCCCCTTCTCCATTCTTTACAGCCATTAGTTTCCTCTTTTGATAATTTCTCCTTTGTTTGATTATTTATCTTTGGTTGTTATTTTCTACATGGTATCAAAGCGGGTTTAGTCTTGGGTTGAACTTGCAAGGTTTCGTTCTCCAATGAGCGGCCTTGTGCTGCTCGTCCAGTGGTCAAATTTCTTGTTTTTCTGTGGTTTAAAATGTTTTGGTCTGTCGATTTAAGGGTTTCGGCCATGGAGGTCTGGTGGTAGAGAAGATGGCAGATACCTCCATGGCTGGTGATGTGGTAGTCGCAGCAGGTGGCATTGGGTTCATGTAAGAGAGAAGATGAATGTTGAGGGTTGAACAGCTGGGTATTGTAGAATTTGCTGATTCAAAATTTGGACAGTGGAGGTTGGACTTTATTAAAGTTGGTCTGCTCGAGTGAGCCACTATCTTGAGGGGGCATGTTAAGGTGTTATATCCCACATCGAATGATGATGGAAATAAATACTAATTTATAAAGGATTGGATTTCTTCACTTAATAAGTTTTATTAAAATGGACCCCAAACTTTAATAGACTTCGATTTAGAAATGAACGGTAGTTGCTTTGCTTTGTGGACGGTGGTTCAAAGGCGGTGGCCTCATTTTCTGACTTGATTTAGCCTGTTGTTGAGGCTAAAGATGGAGGCTTTATTTTCTGGTGGTGATCGGCGAGACCTGTGGTCGGTGGCTTGGAGTGTCGATAGTTGATGCTATGCAGCTTCTGTGATTTAGAGGTAATTTAATTGGGCTCATGTTTGTTTGAATGGATTATAGGCTGTTGTAGAAGTTGGGTTCAGTTGGAGCATTGGTTGGATTTGTTGTGTTGGGCCTGCTGGTTTGTGTAGTTATTGGGCTCAAGGGCTAGATAATTTAATTGGCATTCTGCAAGCATCAGTTCCCTCTTGGTAGGTCTGCCGAATTGGGCCCATTGGTGAAGTATGCAATTGGATTTTGAATTGGAAATTGGGAACAATACATAATTAAGGTGTTAACTATACACAATTTCAATTTAAAGAAACTACATCTCAACTTTCAAAAATCATATCATAATTACGATTTTATTAATTAAAAATATATTTTTTTAATTTAATACATTCTAGTCACAACATTACATATTTTTTTGTCAGAAACGCTCGATTCTAATTCACAACTTGTCGGTCACAAATTTTCAAATTAATTGATCCCAATTTATTTTGTGATCATAAATTATATAATTTTTAGGTCAGAATTTACTAGTTTACGCATTATTTTTCGATCACAAATTACTAATTTTATTAATCATAAATTATTCGTTGATCACAAATTTTCATTTTCTGGTCACAATTTAAATAATTTTTAGGTCACAATTAAAGTGTTAGTCACAAATAACCAAAATACCAAGTCACAAAATAATAATATTGTTGGTCACATACACCAAAACACCCCACTCCCACCTCCAATCTCGATCTACTACTGTCGCGGATGGTCACACACCTTTCTTCACACCTCACTCGTCGCCGCAGCACCACCACATCTACCACCAACATCAACTACAACACCATCACCACCACCACTGATCACTACACAGTACACATCCACCACACAAAACACCAGATCCGCCACCACAACCACCGTCGCAACATCTCAAACAAATCACTGCCACCACACAAGCACCAGATCAGTCGAGATACACCACACAAACACCATCTCCACCACCATCCCAGATCCACGACCACCTCACTAGGGAAACAACACCACATCACAGTAATATACCACCACATCTCGAAACCACCAGATCCACCCATCTCCACCACTATCCCAAATCCACGACCACCTCACCAGGAAGAGACTGCCGTCAGTAGAGAGTGAGAGATCCACAGCCATGGAGATCCACAGCCCCTAACTACATCAACACCCCCGCAAATTCAGTACACACCAACATCCCCACAGATTCACTACATCGCCGCGTGCGACGGTGAGGCGCTCTAAGAACAAGTCCGGTTGCTGCAGCAACGACAGAAGTGGCATTTGAGCAGAGAGACGGTGGTGAAGAGAGATGAGAGGAGAGGGCGACGAACAGTGGTGTGGAGTGGAGAGGAGAGGAGAGGAAAGGAGAGAGAGAAATCAATTTAGGGCTTGAATGGGGTAGGGTGTATGTATATAGATTAATTTATAGTATTATTATTTAAAATATTCATTTATAATATTTAAATTAAGATCTGATTTTTGTATAAATGAATTTTTGCTCTTATTTTTGGAATTGGATATTTAAAAGTAAGATATGGTGTAATTTCCTCGTGGAAATTTGGGTGACTGGAATCAATTGATAATACTTGGGCTGGTTAGTTATGGGTTGTTTGTTCGGCTGAGACACTATATATTGCAGGCCAAGATAGTAAACAAAACTTGGGCCTATTATTTTGGGCTCCCAATTTATGTGTTTGGTTTTTTTTTAAAAATAAAAATAAATGCTGGGCTACAATTAATTAGGCCTGTACTTGCTGGGATGAAAGAAAATAGGGGAATAATCATAATAAATAGGTATCAAAGACACAAAACCGGCTCAACTGGACAGGTTCAACCGGGCAAGAATAAATAGTGAGGCATGCAAACTTTAACAATCTCCACCTTGCTGAACTAATTCTCAACCTCTATTAGATTGGATCTAGAGTTATCTCATAGTTTCATTTGCTCTCACAACCTGTAAAAAAAAAAAAAAAAAAAAAAAAAAAAAAAAAAAAAAAAAAAAAAAAAAAAAAAAAAAAAAAAAAAAAAAAAAAAAAAAAAAAAAAAAAAAAAAAAAAAAAAAAAAATT